GCTGTTATACTCAGAGATAAATGCATGTTACTTGAAGGTGTTGGTGGACGAATGAGAGTTGTTGATGGTACAGTAAAACATGTAATTAGATCGTTTATGATATTATAATGTCATGTAGTCACGTTAGTGTTACTCAGACTCTTGTTCAGATTAAAAGCTGCAATCAGCATCAAAAGATAACTGTGGAATACAACTATCGCTAAAAAAGAACAGATCGCAGGTATCAAAAAAGCTATCATTATCTAAACGTCAGCTCAATCACTTTAATGAAGCCAAATAATGAAAGAACTGCATATGACTTAATCTTTCTGCGGGTTCCATTACAGATATCCCTACGACGGGTGGTATATTTGCCTCTTCAGTAAACGGGACTTTTTATATCGTGTAAGTCACACTTTATTAGCTTTGCTGGACTCTATAACCTACTGGTAATATTCTGCCCAGTCAGAAAGGAAGGTGGAGTGTCGAGCAAAGTTTTCAAATCTGGAGTAATGTATAATGTTTGAAACATTATATAGAACTTAATGACACAGATTTCAGATGTTGACAAACAATTCTCATAAAATACAATCGAGAAATAATAATTAGAAAAACAAAACTTTACAGGTATAATTTCATATGTTAAAATGCAGTAGAACATTTCAACTTCGTATAAATATCATAAATCACTTGGGTGATACTTCATCTCGGTGTTTCGACACGTTAATTGTTTATTTAAAACCCGATTTTCATGAACACGGTATCAGAATTCCCGACGTCTTCAACATCTTTACTTTTGTGCAATGGAAATCAAAAGCAAGGTTCAATGGCTCAATGTGTATATCCATTTTTCATTGTATTCAGTCTCCATTACCGTAATTATCCATCCCAATCCATCCCAATTAATTATCCATCCCAATCCATCCCAATTAATTATCCATCCCAATCCATCTCAATCCATCCCAATTAATTATCCATCCCAATCCATCCCAATTAATTATCCATCCCAATCCATCCCAATTAATTATCCATCCCAATCCATCCCAATTAATTATCTATCCCAATTCATCTCAATTAATTATCCATCCCAATCCATCCCAATTAATTATCCATCCCAATCCATCTCAATACATCCCAATTAATTATCCATCCCAATCCATCCCAATTAATTATCCATCCCAATCCATCCCAATACATCCCAATTAATTATCCATCCCAATACATCCCAATTAATTATCCATCCTATCCATCCCAATCCATCCCAATTAATTATCCATCCCAATCCATCCCAATTCGTCCAGAGGATATATCAAACTTCCATTTCTGTTTTGCACACCTGAAAACCTGGATTTCAAATATTTATTTTAAAACGTTAGGTAATGTTCCCCACAATTCACCAACAGAACTCGAATCAGGACCTAAGTATGGAATACAATAATTGGATACATTAAATTTCATTTTGACCTAAACTTTACAAATAATTTAAACAATAAATTCTAAACAATGGAAACAAATAATTTAAATACAATCTATATTTGCACAATATTAAAAGCCGACATAAATATCTGAAACAAGCTCATTAAATAGAATTACCCAACATTACAAACTGACGTACGTTCTTGCAATAATCTAGGCATATCTAACCTTAAAAAACGTTGGTTAAAAATTACAAACTAACCCATATACTTGTTGTAAATTGGAAGAATAGAACACAGAGTTACTCAACATTACAAACTAAGGTACGTGTCTGAAACAAGCTGCTTACGTAAAACACAAACCGACGAAAGTTTCTAAAACAAGTTTGTCAAACAGAATAAAGATTTACACAGTATAAAATGTCGACTTAAGTACTTGGTGCAAGTTGGTTGAATATAATCTGGATCAAAACAACATTGCAAATTGACTCACTTACTTGAAACAAACTGGTTAAATAAAGTACAAACTGACTCACTTGAAACAAACTGGTTAAATAAAGCACAAACTGACTCGCTTACTTGAAACAAACTGGTTAAATAAAGCACAAACTGACTCACTTACTTGAAACAAACTGGTTAAATAAAGCACAAACTGACTCGCTAGAAACAAACTGGTTAAATAAAGCACAAACTGACTAACTTACTTGAAAAAACTAGTTAAATAAAACACAAATTGACTCACTTGAAACGAACCTGTTAAATAAAATAGAAAATCACTCACTTACTTGAAACAAACTGGTTAAATTGAACACAAACTGACGAGTGAACTTGAAAAAATACAGTTAAATAAAACACAAAATGACACACGTACTTAAAATAATCTGGTAGAATTTAACCCAGAGTTACTGGAGCTTAAAACAAACTGGTTAAATAAAATCTAGAGTTAGATAAGCTTGCAAATTAAAACAAATTTGTTAAATAGTACTTAAAGTTACGCAGCAACAATAGGTATCATTTAAATGTATGCTACGAGATATCTGTAGAAGTTGATATGTTTTTTATACAAACGCAAGCATCACATTACCAGGTCACATCTGACATTATTAAAACGAAATTAATTCAGTATGTGTTTTTAAGCGGCCACATCGTAAAGTCTGATACAGCTAAATATTTATTTAGATTGTTTATCCAATAGCAGATTGTTGAGGTTAAACTCCTTTAATAGTTGTAGAAGTCAGACTTCGATCAAATCGTTGTCCGTTTGAAAACTAATCAGAATATTTTTCTGCGGATTTTATTGGATAAATCGCAATATTGCATCATTTCCTGCCGCCCGTGCCAAATCTTAGTTGTGCTGCCTTGATGCCGCAAACTCGGCGCCGTCTCAGATACTCAACGATATTCTGTATAGTCATCTGTGTCATGTCACAACCCACGCGGCTCCTCTTTACTCCGTATGGTTCGTCATTTCCGATGGAAAAATAGTTCCCATTTGCATATGATGGGTAAAATTGCTGCTTTCCGCTAGACCGTTTATAATAATGTGTTGCCTTGCTACTTGACTGGTATATTATAGGAGGTATGCCTCTATTTCTGAACGTCGAGTCCGGAATGTGAGTACCAGCACGTGTATGAAGGAAATTTGAAAAGTAGGGGTATCTACTTTTAATGTTTTCTTGTCGAAATTCGGATTCTATGCCACTTGAATCTGTAATATAAAGTTTGAAAGAGATATTTAATTTAACTAAAGATGAAACTGTTCGGTTTGAAAAGTACTATACTAAAGGGAAGGGAGGCGGACGAGGTGGTTGCCCCGGGCGCCAGTGATATTGGGGAGCCAAAAGCCCTGGCGCCAGATTTCTTGGGCGCCAAAACTCTTTGGGCCATCATCGTCGCCCCGGGCGCCAGTTACCCTTAGTACGTCACTGCGTTTGGACATTATTTTCTTTCAAAGACCAAGGCATGCAACCCGATGCTCGCAAGTCAAAGGTAGATAAGACGTGTTTCATGTCAGTTTTGTTTAGTGGAGTAGATATGAGTTAGCCATCTAATCTAATCGAGCAAATTAATTTGTGATAATAAAATACATATTATTCAAGCTCGTGATGCACTGCATAGTATCGTCATTTGCCTTTCTCAATAATCGGTCAACATTTGCCGTTGTGGTGTTACGGTATACTTGTCAATCGTTATAGCGGGTAGTTTCCAGTGTCTATTAACCAATCACATGACACTAAAGTGCAAGTTTTCTCTACAGAAATTGCGCAATTATATTATATAAGAAATCTAACAGATATGGGATTTTAATTCGTTCCATGCAGGAATCTAACCAGTGCCGCGAATAACGGAAGCTATACCGCTTAACTCTTGTTCACCAACTATATAAACAACACAGCTTTATTCTCATTCCCAATAAAAAGATTGCAAAATGGCGCAGATAAGGAATGGAAATTCAAAAATTATAGCTATTTAACCTATTTGTTTGAATAAATGTCATTCTGTATTGCGTTATTCAATAGCAATGTGTATCCCAAAATAACGCGAGATCGAGGGATAAGAACATTAACATATTTGTTGTATTGGTCTTAATTTATAATGATAACTTCATATCTCTACTTGATATTTCTAAACAAAAAATAAGTGGATTTAAGCTAGGATTTAATATAAATAATACTATCATAAAGGTAAGAGAATTTGAATTATTAATTACACACACAAATAATTAAATTTTTAATTCTGCCTAATATTATCAAGATTCTACTACAGAATCCAGGGATATTACTGTCTGTTATGTCTGGTATATATTTATAATTCTTTATATTCATAATAATAATAATAATAATAATAATAATAATAATAATAATAATAATAATAATAATAATAATAATAATAATAATAATAATAATAATGAGAAGAAGAAGAAGAAGAAGAAGAAGAAGAAGGAGGAGGAGGAGGAGGAGGTACAAGTATCAGTAGTAGTAGTAGCAGTACAAGTAGCAATAGTACTAATAACAGTAGTAGTAGCAGCAAAGGTAGTAAAAGCAGCAACAACAGTACCAATGTTGGTAGCAGAATGGTGGTGATTGTGGTACTGATTGTAGTTGTAGAAATAGTCATGGTAGTGGAAGTAGCAGCAGAATAAAGTTTCGTTAATCTTGTGTCAATGCAGATACACCTACCCAGCTTACCAGTTAATAAAATATCTCCATCCTTCGCCGGCCACTGTAACTTGTCCTGAGCATAAACTGAAAAGAGCATGCGTACGGATATCCAAGCAACAAGTACAAATGTAGCTGACATGGTGTTATGCTTCCGATTTCAGCTGCAATGATTCAAAAATAATAATAATAATAATAATAATAATAATAATAATAATAATAATAATAATAATAATAATAATAATAATAATAATAATAATAATAATAGTCTTTATTTGTAATACAGACTACTGACCCATAATAAGCATCCATACATCATGCGGTACAAAAAAAAAAATGTATAGTGCGTAACAAGAGAACATCGTATCTATTGGAAGTGATATACATGAAAGTAATCATTATTTTATTTCTCTAATTGGGCGAGATACGAGTATATATGACCGCTCATGTGGCCTAGTGGTAAAGCATTCGTCTCGGGAGCGGGAAATCACGGGTTCGAACCCCGACCGAATCATACCAAAGACTTTCAAAAATGGTACTAACAGCTGCCACGCTTGGCGCTCAGCATGAAGAGGTTAGTGCTAGGGCTGGTCAACTTTGTGTCAGTATAATATGATCTTGTGGGACATCATGCTACATGTCTGCCGCATGATGACCCAACGCTAGACATCACTATAAACTGCCACACTGTAGACATCGTAGCAATATTACTGAAAAATTGTTAAAGTCACGTTAAAAATCCATATCGAAAACATACACACACAAAAGTAATCTCACAAACGCATTTTAGGGGAATCATTCTACAACCAGCATGGAGCAAGTTTTTATATTGATTTAAATCTTATGTAACAGGAGTCGTTGATAAACCTCTTTATCTAATCCTTAAGGCTTTTATAATAAATATTACCAGATTAGTTATAAGAATTTTAGTGGTATCATTTTGTATAAAATTTCTAAAGTTGGATTTTTATATACAAGGTGGGTAAATATTTTTTGCACTTCTCCATGTAGTGGACAAGCAGTAATAAAATAAAATTCATTTTCGATGTTAACGTCGCAAATTTGACAATCTTTTCTCATTACAAATAGTTTCATATCTTCTCGTGTTACCTCCGATTGGCATTTTCCCCACACTAAGCGGAGTGATTATATGAGAAAAATCGTAATCTAAAAATATCTTCACGTCTCTGGCTAAATAATCTAAGCCATAGTACCACTTTTCGTAACTTCTGAGATATCCACCTCTGCGAAATACAACCACTCTAGTTTTATTATTATTAATATATTATTATTATTATTATTATTATTATTATTATTATTATTATTATTATTATTATTATTATTATTATTATTTTGTTGTTGTTGTCAGTGAAGGTATTTAGTGTTGTAGCGTTTTGATTGACATGAATTCTTTCAGTAATCCTTTCCTTTTTTTCTTTCTCATAATAGACAAATTACAAGTAATCATAATGAACTCCATCAATTATATGATTTTTCATTGCACAATCGCTGGATCATTTATCAACATACACCTTTATCAATGTACTGAATATTTTAAATCGGGTTCTTTTGCTTTTGTCTTTTCCTCTGATTTTCATTTTTTTTTGTGACCGTAACCAAAATTCTCTTAGCGAAGTATAAAATGCCTTTTCAAACAAAAACTAAATAATTGGTAAGTAAAGGCGTCATACTGAACATTATTCATGGAACTATATGATATATGGATTAATATTTTTACATGGTCCCTATCAAACATTTTAATGTAAGTAATTGTCGGAAATTTCAAATATAGATGTTCAGTTATTGAGTATGTGAATAGTACTGATTATTAGGTGTTTTCCTGTTTGGTTAAATGTGGTATGAGACACCAACATACGTCTTTGTATGCATGCTAATAAAGCCCATTAATTTGCAGCTAGAACAAAACCCTAACAAGTATGAAATAAGAGTACATTGAATGTGTGGTCCTAGTTTGATTAAAGGAATATCATTTGTAGTATTATCGTGATTATAAACACTCAGATAAATATGGAGTGTTGATCTGAGGTCCTTGGAAAACAACTACCAGAAGCCAAACTCAACGCATTTTGAATTCGACATTGCTTTTTTTCTCTAGGTCTAGAAGTGAACATGTGCTTGCTGCTTTTAGACCAATAGCGTGTTCCATTAGCGTTGTGTAGTCTTGTGGTTAGAGGAAAAACACTAAATGCCCCCTTTAATTCACACATGACAAGAACCTGACAAAAGCACAGTATGAAGTACTTTTCACTTCAAAGCATGCATTAGCAATATAATGGATTGTACAGATAGAAAATACTTATTGGAATTATCTTAAAATATTTTATATTGCAAGCCACAACAGCTGTACATAGCTGTAACGTTACATTATTGATAGGAATACTGTTTTAGAAGTTTACAGTGACATCATCCGGCGTGTTGCATGCTAATAAATCAACGTAATAGAGCTACCAGAAATGTCGGACATTTACGACCAATCAGACTTTCCTACGGATGATCGATCCTCCACATTTATGGTATTACTACAAATCAAAACACGTGACTGATGTTTTATTAAAGATGTTTAATGAACTAATACGTGGGGGCTCCACTAATTATTAGCGCGGAGGCCCACGATGCACATGCATAGTGTACATGCATTCTAAAAGGAATAATACGTATAATCTAAAGGAATGGAGTAAAAAAATTAAAATACTGTTAATAGATTTCCTTGTACACATTCATGATCTCAGATCTTGAAAACTGAGTTTAATTTTAATAACTGTATTGCGCTCAAGTAGTAAAACAAAAGTTCACACACACGCACACACACACACCCAGATATATATATATATATATATATATATATATATATATATATATATATATATATATATATATATATATATATATATATATATATATATATATATATATATATATATATTAGGTATCAATTAAATACGATGAGGTACCAAGGACATTAATCATTAGCTTAACGATATCCAGACTTTGCCATCATTCTTATGTCATTGGGGTGATGCTACTGTTTTGACATTCTTGTTTTTCTCGTTCTTGTTTGTTGTTATTGATTCAATTGATTGTTTATTTTTATAGTCATGTTTGATATTCTCATTTATAGTTATCTATTTATTACTTTTTTGTAGTATTAATGTTGGGCTGAGGGTGGGGATACAGTGAATATAAACTAAACAATGTAGTTTTCACCGCCCATAATAAAGTTTTAAGCTGATTGTTTCAACGTTTTCGTAATAATATAACAACGATCCAACAGTCCAAGATGATACAGATCTAATAAAAATTCTTCATGAATGAAGAGGTAAAGCAGGCCCCCTGTATAAAAGCTTTAATCTATGATTAAAGAACACTCAAACATTTCGCATTTTTAATGATTTGATTTTACGCTTCTTGTAGTGCAATATAGCTAGCTTAAATACATCTCAAAGTCATTACTTGATTGTTCTTATTTGATAGGACCCATCTCTGCAAAATACGACAAGTATGTGAAACATCATCTTCGCTAGCCAAGGATCCGATATAATAACCCTATCTACACCTTGGCGTATCGAGCATATATTTCTATGCTTCGGATATGTGAATATCATTGGATGCGGCGGCAAGCCACCGCATCCAATCAAAATTAAGTTGTTCAAATTTGAACACTGTTCCTACACCATCGAGACAAGGGAGAACACGACTTGAATTAACTGATAAATAATTAATTTTCCACTGCCGATTCCTGTTTGTATAAATAACTTTCACTCATATACATCTGTAATGGGTTCCCACTTGTACGTTGTCATACTTTTGATGTTAAACTTACAAAGTATCATTTTTAAGTCAACTGCCTCAACCATTTTCGGTCGATATATAATGCACTGCATTTAAACACTATTGGTTAGTTGACATTGCATACTAAAGGGGTTAATTACTTACTAAATCCAATAGATGTCACTAGGACAAAGTACTAAAATATGTATTCGAACCACGAAGGTGTAAATAGGTTTATCATATCGGAACCTTGGTTAAACAAAGATGACGAAATATAAGAACTTGAATACACTGTTAAATTATGCCGATATATGTGGTTCTTCGTAGCTTTATAGTAATATATAATGGAACAAACAACATAAATCCTGATATGTGTTCCCATTTTGCGTCGGTAGATATGGGTCCACGCAGCTTGTGATGAGTACTTTAGGCGAACAAACAACATATAACCTAATCTGTGTCCGGATTATGCAAGGGCAGATCATGGTTTTAATTGTTAACAGTTGGATCCGACTTGTATGGAATATTTTTGAGAATCTCCAAGGCATCGTGTCTCTCTAACATTCATATATGTGTGTGATTGTGTTTTCCCGCGTAAAGCACCGGTACATGATGGTTCTATCCTTCCTTACATGTGACCTTTTAGCCAGACTCGTGGACTAATATAACTGTATATTACCAGCATAGTGTACACTTAACCTGAAATGGGCTGGTCTACATGATGCACGCTCAACCCAAAGGATATTTGAACTTGTGGAGAATAAAGGGACGCCAACGACTCGTAGCCATTAGAGAAAAAAGGCACATCGCAGCATCCCAGACCATCACGTCATCAGACTTCTCATGCGAAATCTGTAACATCATGTGAACTTCGAACTTTTGAAACGGGAGCCATATACGTCGATATACGTCGTCTCAGTGGGCATCGCAACTAGCATCATCTTCGGACACGATAGACAATTTTGTTCGATGAAATTTAAAATAGTTTTAACTTTGTTCCCTATTGTAAGAACGGAAGTTCCAAAATAATTAAAAGATATCGATGCTATGACAAGATGAGAAAATTTAGTGTGACTTCATTTCCAGGGCAATTGTCAGGTTTGTACTCTGCCGAATTGTACTTTTTTAATGCAAATTTTTGCTATACAAAAACGAATTACAAAATGTGCACTCTTTTACCATTTGCAAGTCTATAAATTCATTACTCACATTCGTTTCTCATCTTTATAACCAAAATTAAAAATTCCTACTAAATGATAACTACGTTCACAACGATTCGTCAAAACAAATAAAAACATGTTTCAGTTTATTTTGAGTCATATGTATTTGATATAATTAATAACATTTAGCAAAGTGATAACCGTCTTTCCGAAGTAGATGTACCACCATTGCTTCTGGCAAACATACTACGATACACTTATGCAAAACAATTTAAAGCATCTCCTTTAAATTGGAGAGTTGCAAGCTGTAACCAATATTAATTCAAGATCGGTTGCGACGTTTCCCTTCTGTCACATTAGGTTGGTTCCCACGTGTCGCCTTCAAGTTCTGTTCAAACAGAATCATGGAACTATTATCCAAAAGAATGTATCATTATGTAACAAATATTGCGATTTCGCAAGCGATTTTCTCAACCAATTCAGTCTTTACACAGGAACAAATATAACAAAATGAAACTTTTAGTCACAGCTGCTCAAAAATCACCCTGAATGAAATGTTATATTT